TCAGATGTCAGTACAGACACTAGCTTGCATGTCATCATCAGGGACTCAATAACAGACATACAGTGGGGCAAAAAAGTATTTAGTCAGCCACCGATTGTGCAAGTTCCCCCACTTAAAATGATGACAGAGGTCAGTAATTTGCACCAGAGGTACACTTCAACTGTGAGAGACAGAATGTGAAAAAAAAATCCATGAATCCACATGGTAGGATTTGTAAAGAATTTATTCGTAAATCAGGGTGGAAAATAAGTATTTGGTCACCTCAAACAAGGAAAATCTCTGGCTCTCACAGACCTGTAACGTCTTCTGTAAGAAGCTTTTCTGTCCCCCACTCGTTACCTGTATGAATGGCACCTGTTTGAACTCATCATCTGTATAAAAGACACCTGTCCACAGCCTCAAACAGTCAGACTCCAAACTCCGCCATGGCCAAGACCAAAGAGCTTTCGAAGGACACCAGGAAAAGTATTGTAGACCTGCACCAGACTGGGAAGAGTGAATCTACAATAGGCAAGCAGCTTGGTGTGAAAAAATCAACTGTGGGAGCAATCATCAGAAAATGGAAGACATACAAGACCACTGATAATCTCCCTCGATCTGGGGCTCCACGCAAGATCTCATCCCGTGGGGTCAAAATGATCATGAGAACGGTGAGCAAAGATCCCAGAACCACACGGGGGGACCTGGTGAATGACCTGCAGAGAGCTGGGACCAAAGTAACAAAGGTCACCATCAGTAACACACTACAACGGCAGGGAATCAAATCCCGCAGTGCCAGACGTGTTCCGCTGCTGAAGCCAGTGCATGTCCAGGCCCGTCTGAAGTTTGCCAGAGAGCACATGGATGATACAGCAGAGGATTGGGAGAATGTCATGTGGTCAGATGAAACCAAAGTAGAACTTTTTGGTATAAACTCAACTCGTCGTGTTTGGAGGAAGAAGAATACTGAGTTGCATCCCAAGAACACCATACCTACTGTGAAGCATGGGGGTGGAAACATCATGCTATGGGGCTGTTTTTCTGCCAAGGGGACAGGACGACTGATCCGTGTTAAGGACAGAATGAATGGGGCCATGTATCGTGAGATTTTGAGCCAAAACCTCCTTCCATCAGTGAGAACTTTGAAGATGAAACGAGGCTGGGTCTTCCAACATGACAATGATCCAAAACACACCGCCCGGGCAACAAAGGAGTGGCTCCGTAAGAAGCATTTGAAAGTCCTGGAGTGGCCTAGCCAGTCTCCAGACCTCAACCCCATAGAAAATCTGTGGCGGGAGTTGAAAGTCCGTGTTGCTCGGCGACAGCCCCAAAACATCACTGCTCTCGAGAAGATCTGCATGGAGGAATGGGCCAAAATACCAGCTACTGTGTGTGCAAACCTGGTAAAGACCTATAGTAAACGTTTGACCTCTGTTATTGCCAACAAAGGTTATGTTACAAAGTATTGAGTTGTATTTTTGTTATTGACCAAATACTTATTTTCCACCCTGATTTACGAATAAATTCTTTACAAATCCTACCATGTGGATTCATGGATTTTTTTTTCACATTCTGTCTCTCACAGTTGAAGTGTACCTCTGGTGCAAATTACTGACCTCTGTCATCATTTTAGGTGGGGGAACTTGCACAATCGGTGGCTGACTAAATACTTTTTTGCCCCACTGTAATTTGTTTAGGTAGAAGTGTGTGCCTGTGTGTCAGTATTTGAGATGTGGAAGGGTACATTGTGATAATTGATTATGTGAATTTCACTCCTTTTAAAGCTGTTCTGAGTCAATCTGAGTATGTCACGCCTCATTACAGGTATCGCTGGGCCTTCATCCCAGAGGCGTCAGACGATTCGGGGTTGGAAGTGAGACGTCAGGGGATTCACCAGAGAGAGTTTAAGCCCTACATTGTCCGACTAGTGAAGCTGCTGAGGAAACGAGCCAAGGTATCTCATCTTCTCTTGTCTGCACAGGTTATTAAATAATGAAGATAAATGAGTGCCTTTTACAAAGAGGAAAGTGCTTGTTAAAAGAGGCTGTTTTGCAAATTGTAGTTTTTGCGGGTTGGCAGGTGAATATTCAGCTTTAGTAAATTATTTGCCTCCTCCTCATAGAAAAACCCAGAGGAGGACTGCTCCACCCAAACCCTGTCCTGGGAGCCAGGTCACCTAATGCTGACCCTCTACGTGATCCGCAGTATGGAGCAGCTGCTGCCCTTCTTCAACTTGCTCAGCCAGGTGTTCAGCAGCAAGGCCAGCAGCCGCTCAGGCCCCGCCTACGCTCACAACCGCACAGATGCCTCTTTCCCCAGCCACAAGGAGGGCCACAAACTGGAGAGCCAGAAAGTGTTCTGGAGTCGAGCTCGACAAAACATTGAGGAGATGGTTGAAAAAGACTTTCTAGAGGGGCTCATCAAGACGTGAGGTCAAAACAAGCGGAGGGAGAGGGAACTAACACACAACTGATCAACACTAGTGAACCTCAACCTGTACATTAAAAAAAACTATATGGGACTATAAACTTGGGGAGGAGTTTGTACATTCTTTTTTTTTTTTTTTTATAATGATTTTTCTTTTAAAAGCTACTTTATTGATTTTAATTATTTGTATATATGGAGCAGCTTTGATGACTTTCAACATTTCATGTGAGTCCTTTAGGATAAAGTGAAAATGCTGTGCCATTCCATATCGATGTGACTTAATAAAGATTTCTAATGAGAAGTTTACATCAGCTATGTTGTTCTCTTTCTAAATATTAAGAAAGAACTTACATTACGCCCCTGCCATTCAGTCTAAGTCTCTTCAGTCTCTTCTCCATTCTCATCTGAGCAGGTGTAGACTGTGTATAAAAGATAGACAGCCACTACCGCATTGCCCGTTGGTTTCCACATTAGCTTTGTCGTCATCGGAATCTTGTTTTTCTGGAGCCAGCCATGACTACAGTTACTCAAAAAGGATCAATGCTAGAGAACATAGAAAAATGTGTGAGCACAATACACAGACACACCTACCTGCTGTTTAGTGCAGTAACGGGGTAATAAAATACTAGAAAATGCCTAAAACCAAAACTCAAGCAAAGACTTCTCTACTTCACAGAAAGCCATTCTTGTCAGATAATTCCATTTAAGATGCAAAGCAGCAACACCACAAAGGCAGTCAAGAGGTCAGTTTGTCTCTGAGATGACCGTATCAGTATGGACTTTAGATGGTACCCTTTTAAGTTCCTGTTGGTCAACTCCACCTACATTGAGTAGACACTCAGCAGGAGAGGAGCAAAACATATAAACATTGTCTGCAAGGGAGTCCTAACAACAGTAGCCTGAGCAGCTACGTACAGTGGCTTGCAAAAGTATTCGGCCCCCTTGAACTTTTCCACATTTTGTCACATTACAGCCACGAACATGAATCAATTTTATTGGAATTCCACGTGAAAGACCAATACAAAGTGGTGTACACGTGAGAAGTGGAACGAAAATCATACATGATTCCAAACATTTTTTACAAATAAATAACTGAAAAGTGGGGTGTGCGTAATTATTCAGCCCCCTGAGTCACTACTTTGTAGAACCACCAATTACAGCTGCCAGTCTTTTAGGGTATGTCTCTACCAGCTTTGCACATCTACAGACTGAAATCCTTGCCCATTTTTTCTCCAGAGTAGTCTGATTTGATAACTGAGAGATGAGCGCTGTCAGATGGGAGAGAGGTCACAGCTGTTATTATACCCTATTAAAAATAAATATATTTAAAATACATTTCTAAGTGCCATGAACAAGTATTGTATTTTATATGTAGGTTTTTCCAATGTACATTAACACATTTTAATGTACATTTTTATGAAAAACGACTGATAGAACTGCATAATGCTGATCAGAAAATGTGATTGAGAGCACGACGCCAGAAGACTTCAGCACCATGGACAGGGCCGAATCCGCTGATTGGCTGCGCGTGGTTATATAAAATCGTGCTCCCTGAAGCTGCACGCTTCTTATGACCTTCGTAGTACGGAAGCAGCATGACAGGCACCAAAACCCTGTAGAGTAGCTGTATTAACCCTTCACATCCTCACGCAGCAACCCCATTCGCCCACCTCCCCACCTCTCTCGCTTCTCCCTTGAGCTCTCGCGATAAAAGAGGCTGCAGTGGGGTTGGTAACACTGTGTCACCTGACTCAAAGGAGGGGGCAGGGCGTGTTGAGAAATATAAATAAAATAATAATTAAATAAACGGAAGGATGTAAGTCCACCGAAAGCACCGCCATCCAACGACCCGGTTTGAAGCGCGCATCCCCGGAGCTGACGGTGAGGAAGGCGCAGAGGAAGCGTGGGGCTGCAGAAGGAGAAGGAAGAAGAAAAACAAACAAACAGAGAAAAAAAAACGCTGCACTGGATGGTGTGGGATGAAGATGATGATGATGTTCCCCTGCACGCCCCGCTGATACTCAGGGACTGTCAGACTGGTGGTGGTGGTAAGGATTATCCAGGAGACAAGCGGAAGGAAGACAGGGAGGAGGGGAGGCAAGAGACAAGCATCATCCAGGGAGGACGGCATTGTGAGGGAGGCTGTCCGACCATAACGCGGAACAGTAAGAAATTCATTAAAAAACGGAGGGGAAAACACTGAATTAAAACCTGGATTAGCGTTTTACTTTTTTGCCCTCTCCTTTTTCCCCCTTCTCCCCCTTTTTTTGCATATAGACTGTAGTTATCACCGGATACTGGAATTCAGGGAAGAAAGTCAGTTCATGATTGTTCCAGAAACGCATGCAGATCCAGCAGATCTGAGTGGATATACCAGCTCTCCGCTTGTTATGCAACTCAAATCAATTGCGGCTCTTTAGAAAGTGCCCTAATATTTCTTTTCCTGGAGCCTGTGTCTGTGTGGTGTTCTCGAGGGCGGCTGGGATTACTGAGGCTGCTCGCTCATTCCGGCGTGCGCGCGTGTGTGTGTGTGTGTGAGTAGGGGGGGGTAGGACCATATTGGAGGCTTGCTGGTTGTACTCCGCGGAGAGAAGATGTCGGGGCAGACGCTGACGGACCGCATCGCCGCGGCTCAGTACAGCCTGACGGGATCCGAGGTGTGCCGAGCGGTGTGCAAAGCCACCACGCACGAACAGACAGCCCCGAAGAAGAAACACTTGGAGTGTGAGTACATCTACGTCTAAGTAACCCCTCCATCTATCCTTCTCATGCACAACTAGGCCTTGCACCAAAGCCATGATGGTTGCCCCCCACCCCCACGTCCGTTACTCCAGCGTGTCTTAATATGCTTGGATGGGTTTCTAGTCATAGTATATACTCACGTGTATGAACACACACACACACACACACACACACACATACTACCGAAAGACCACCAACAGGAACTGCTTTCAGTCTTAACTGACCAAGCCAAAGTTAATATATAATTACATGGCCTCTCACCCGCTGACTGTGCATTAGTGTAGAGCCAGAATAGGGAAACCACAAAGTCTCCAACCAGATACTTACAGATAAAAGTCCCTCTGATTGCATGCTATCTCTCCCTCCAATGCTGCTCTTATGCTAGTTACTGCATAATTAAAAGGCTAAAAGTAGTTTCAGTACTACTAAGCACACAGGTGGGGTTGTTGCCTGAGACCTTGTCCTCTATGGTAGCACTGAAAAAACTGCCAACATATTTATCACAGATTTCTTTTTTCGTTTCTTGGTGCAGTTTCTAGATGTCTTTCATTGCACGAACAGGGTTGTCAAATGAAGGAGCAGGCGGTGCCAATTCAATTAAAAAAAAAGGCTATTAGCTTTTTGGAAAGGGTGGAATGGGGCTGTATTTACTGATAACACACAATTTCAGGGACAGTCAATATCCCCGGTGGTCATCCATACATAAAGTAGATTGAACTCTCCAATGACTCATGCGCAGAATAGATAAAAGTGAACACAGCAAAGGTGGAGGTTTCAGTTAGAGTGATTTTTTTTCAGGATGCAAATGAATGACACAAGGCCTTTAAGTATTTTTGCCAATAAATATGCAAAAAACAGACCAAGCTTGTGCATTTGATCAGAACACATACATGTGAATAACACAGCCTTTTGCTTTTTCTGCACAATGATATAATACAGCTTGTATTAAGATATTCAACACACAAAATTAATTTGTCTATAATATAAACACCATCCATGCATCACATCTGGGAAACATAAAGACTTGGTTTTATTTATTTGGTTTTGGAATAATTGGAAACATTAGGAAGTTATTGAAACAAGCTGGTGAGAGGTCAGTGAGTGCAAGTCACTGAATTGTTGAGGTTATAGGCATCTATATAGACAGAAACTAATGGAGGAAGAGTTATGGCCGGGATGGCCGATGTGTTTGAGGTGTGGACCCAAAAACAGACATGTGAGAGAAAAATGAAGTATAACAAAAAGCAAGCCGTTTATTAAGGGTGATATCAAACAGAAAACAAGGCAAGGTGAGCTGGGGAAAAACTAAACTAAAACCTAAACTGGGATGAACTAAAACTAACATGAAAACTATGCCCAGAGGTGGGACCAAGTCATTGTTTTGCAAGTCTCAAGTAAGTCTCAAGTCTTTATCCTTTAGTCTCAAGTCAAGTCTCAAGTAATGTCAGGCAAGTCAGAGTCGAGTCTCAAGTCACTGGTGTAAAAGTCCGAGTCAAGTCACAAGTCTGAAATTTTGAATTTCAAGTCCTTTCGAGTCTTTAAAAAAAAAAACGAAAAAAGAATGTTGCAGTTATATGCTAAATGTAAATATTAGACCATGTAATTTTTAAATCTGTGTTTTTCTCAACACATGACAAAATAGTGAACTTAGAAAATATACACAAATTGTGAAATTGCACCTCTTTAAAATGCAGCTCAATTAAACCTAGCTCCAAGAATAATTTTCACCGACAGTTCTGAGATAAGCTGCATGTTATTCTTGGATGCGGTTAGTAACTTCAGGTCACTGCAACAAGCCCAGGTACAGTTTACCGACGGATGGGTGCAGGACCTTGAAATGCACCGTGTAGAAGAAAGACCATCGTACGTATCATAAGTTTACCAGTCTCACAAATCGTCGTCATAAATACACATTCGTTAACCGTTTATTAATAGGACCTTTGAGCTCAACGGTAATTAATTAGTAGTGGAAATAATTTCTGGTTCATTACAGAAATGTAGCAGTGACAATAATACTGTATGCTGTAATCGTACTGGACAATTAGTGATACAAAACAACTGTTTTATCCTGTGAATAAAAGTATATGTTTTTGTCAATGTACCATAATAACAGAAGCGAAACGCAATATTGTGTCAGGACAATTCACTATTTATGCACAATAAACAAAGGAGCATAGCGCGACAATTTCTGTTCAGCGCCAGACTTGCTTGTAACCTATATCACCAATTATGTTATGAAAATGACGTATTAACTACAACAGCAGACTGACCTTTGTAGAATGCTTGGAGCAGACTAACCTGTGAGCTGGAGTGTTCTGGGACGTTATATTTGGTCTTTGAATGGCTGCAATCCAGGCCATCCGTCGCGTCTTTGTTACTTCGGAAACATGGCTCGAACAATTTCTCTTCAACGACGTAATCCGATAACAACCGATCTCTTTACCCGTCGGCTTCCCGTGGCTGTCATGCGACCGGCTATTGCAGTTAATAATACAACAGCTTCTTGACATTTTTGTGTTTCTTTTTATCGCTGTGTATTTTCAATTGAAAGCCTGCGTGCGCTAGTACCTCTTGCCACGAGTTCCCAGAATCCTTTGCGGTTTTACCCCTGAATGACGTCACATTTTCAATCTCTATATAATATGCATGTTAAATTTTATATTTGGGGTGAAATATCAAGTCTTTTCAAGTAAACCGGTTCAAGTCCAATTCAAGTCCCAGGTCATTGGTGTAAAAGTCCAAGTCAAGTCACAAGTCTTAGAACATTTTTTCAAGTCAAGTCTAAAGTCATAAAATTAATGACTCGAGTCTGACTCGAGTCCAAGTCATGTGACTCGAGTCCACACCTCTGACTATGCCATGGTACCTGAACATGAATCAGAACAGGTACATCTGAAAACTGTGACAAGAAACATGAACCTGAACCGAAGCATGAAAATAATCCTGAGACCGGAAGTACATGACGCGAGACAAAGAGACGACCCAACAGAGGGGGAACAGAGGGAGATAGAGGACACAGAAGGGTAATGAGGGAAGTGGAAACACCTGGGGAAACACAGCTGACACAATGAACCTGACGCCACAGGGGAAGCAAAACTAAACACACTGAACATGGAAACACAGACTTTCAAAGTAAAACAGGAAACATGGAGAGACGTGAACTGGGACACACTGATACAAGAGACAGAGAGTCGGAGTGAGAGAGGGACAAAGAGGAGAGAGACGCAAGGGGAACCTACCTAGACAAGGAGATAACATATGACAAACAGAAAAAGACTCATAAACAAGGAGACATGAACGATAACATAAACTACACTAAACTTCAACTACGATGAACTAATACAAAATAACCCAAAATACTCTGTCACAGACCCAGCCCCCTGACAGGGAAATTATTGTTTGTGTAATTTTAAACAGACAGAATCACCAGGGTTGGAAATATAACGGTGAAATCATTGTCTATCAGTGTCCAGGCATACATGCCCATGCCATGACGCTTCCTCCGCCGTGTTTGACAGATAGTGTTGCTTTGGATCATGAGGTGTTTCTCTCTTTCGCAATACTTCTCCCATCATTCAGCTGCAAGTTCATCTTGGTTTCACCATCCACTTTTTTGTCTTCTTCTTCGTTTTTTTTTTTGGTTGCAGATTTTCCTTTAGATGTTTTCTGGCAAAGTCTAATCTGCTCTTCCTGTTCTTGAGTGTAACCAGGGGTTTGCACCTTGTTGTCATCTCTGCATATATCTGTTTATGAAGGTGTCTCTTTATTATAGACTATGTGACAGTGATACCTCTTCCTGTGTGAGGATGTTCTTGACTTGGTTAGATGTTGTGAAAATGTTTTTTTTTAAATAATGGAAATAATTTGCCACTTCAGTTGTCTTCTGTGGTCTTTCAGGTCTTTTGGTGTTGCTGAGCTGCTATGGGCTCAAAATGTGGTCATAAATTATTTGTACTTGTAAAAGAGATTTGTGTGTGCGTAAAAAAGATTTGT